ATATTTTAAAAATAATAAAACTCCCCATAGCTCTCCTTATAATAAACCTAGACCTCTAGAATTGGTTGAGTTTCTTTGAGTTTATTCGTTTGGATTCTCTAAAATCAAAAATCGTGTTCACATTTAGAACAGATGTCAGACTTCAAAATTGTTGAGCTTTCTTATTCGGTAACTGAAAAGTTACGTTGGGCTTGGTTGAGTTTCTTTGATCTAATGACAATAGGGAGATATTTTTTTCTCTGTATCGTTAGACATCTATACCAGTTCTGTTAAAAGCTAATAAATAAACTGAACGCTAATTTAAGCTTTCCGGAGTGATTTCCGATTAGTAACGTTAGACATGATTGAGTTTCTTTGACATACAGGCAATAAGACACTCGTGAATATCCTAAAATATATTGGATTACGAAATTATTGAGAAAATTCAGAAAAGGAGCAGCCAGACTCTTTGTGGCAAGACGACACTCAATCTATAATATATAGTTCGACCGGGCCGAACTTTGAACACTCTCCACCATTTGCAACAAATTTGAAAATTTTCAAAAAAATAAAAATAAAATCTGTTAAAAATTTTGTTAAAATCTTAAAAATAGCGAAGACGTGGACCTGCATAGGTAACTTTTGTCATAAGCCATTACAATATTCAAATACGAAACTTGAAAAAAAATCCGGTAAATAATGTCGCTAAAATCATCAAAATATCAAATATAGGGAGGTACCGTTATATCGGGTTATACGAAGCCCTGAAACTGCATAGACAATTTTCTATCACAGGCTGAAGAACTACAAATACGAAATTTGAAACAATTCCAGTGAATATTGTCGCTAAAATCATTAAAATGCCGAATATCGGGAGGTACCGTTATATGAGGGCTATACCAAGACGTGGACATGCACAGACAATTTTCTGTCATATGCTGAAGTATTCATTATGAACTTCAAATACCAGCTAAAATCAACAAAATACCGAATGTTGGAAGGTACCGTTATATCGGGTTAGACGAAGCTCTAAACCTGCATAAACAATTTTCTATCACAGGATGTCGTAACCATAACCAACTACAAATACCAAATTTGAAACAATTCCAGTGAATAATTTCGCTAAAATCATCAAAATGCCGAATATCGGATGCTACCGTTATAAGGGGGCTATACGAAGACGTGGACCTGCACAGACAATTTTCGGTCTTAGACTATAGTATCCATTACGAACTTCAAATACCAAATTTGAAACAATTCCGGTGAATAATATCGATAAAATAATCATAATATCGAATATAGGGAGGAACCGTTATATGAGGGATATATATGAAGACGTGGACCTCCACAGACAATTTTCTGTCATATGTCGGTGAATATTGTACCTAAAATCATCAAAATGCCGAATATAGGGTGATACTAATATATGGGGCCTATACGAAGATCTGGACCTGCATAGACAATTTTCTGGCATAGACTGTAGTTTCCATTACAAACACTTAATACGAAAATTGAAGCAATTCCAGTGAATTATGTCGTTAAAATCATGAATATACCGTGGCTATACGAAGACGTGGGCCTGCATACGCAATTTTTTGTCATAGATTGTAGTTCCCATTACGAACTCTAAATACGAAATTTGAAGCAACTCCGGTTAATAATGTCGCTAAAATCATGAAAATGCCGAATATCGGGAGGTACGGTTATATGGAGGCTATACGATATCATGGAGCTTTATAGACATTTCTCTTTCAGGGGGTAAAGTGCTTCCATGTAGATAAAATCATCAAAATACCAAATGTCGGGAGGCACCGAAATAGGAGGGATATACGATATCGTGGACCTATACAGACAGTACTCTTCCAGGGTTTAAAGTTGTCAAAAGGAACTCCTTTTGATTTAATTTTTTCATTTTCATTGAAAAATTTGCCTACAATCATGAAAATACCGAATATCGGTGGGTAGCAAAAATATTTGGATGTGTGAAATTTGAAGAGAGTAGGATGCTTTTTTTGCTTTCTTTGAGCGTTTTGTTTTTTCAAAAATCTTGAACCCTATGTGGGGGGAGATACCAGAAGAAAAGTTCCGATCTCTACCATTTTTATAACAGATCTTGTATTGATAGAAATATTGGGGCGTACCAAGTTTGAATATAATCGGATGCGAATTTCGCGTTTTACCAGCTTCGTGGATATTCAAAATGTTGACCCTTTGTACGGGAGGTACCAGCGGGACTGGACTGATGTATTCCATCTTAAGACCAGACCTTGGGTTAATAAAAAATATTGGGATGTGTGAAATTCGGACTCTTACTTCACATTTTATAAGAGTTGTAATTATTCAAAAATTTGACCCTTTGGGGGGGAGGTATTTGATAGAGTGGGCCGATATTGTCCATCTTCGCACTTGATGAACATATATAGATTCGCAAAGTTGGAGCAAAATCGGATCATCTTTTCTCTTTCTGTACAGAAAATAAATTTTTTGAAAATTTCGACCTGTTGTGGGGGACGTACCAGAAGGAGTGGATTGATATATTCCATCGTAAAACCAGACCTTGAGTTAATAAAAATATTGGGATGTGTAAAATTTGAAAACAATCGAACTCCTACTTCACTTTTTATTAGAATTGTAATTATTCAAAATTTTGACCCTTTGTGGGGGAAGTACTTGATGGAGTGAACCGATATTGTCCATTTTCGCACCTGACCTAGCACTAAAGAAAATATTAGGAATTACAAAGTTCGAGCAAAATCGGATCATCCTTTCTCTTTCTGTGCAGTAAATAAAGTTTTGAAAATTTCGACCTTTTGTGGGGGTCGTACCAGAAGGAGTGAACCGATATATTCCATCTTAAGACCAGACCGTGGGTTAATAAAAATATTGTGATGTGTGGAATCTGAAGACAATCAGACACTTACATCACAGTTTATTAGCGTTTTAATTATTCAAAATTTTGACCTTTGTGGGGGAGGTACTTGTTAGAATGGACCGATATTGTCCATTTTCACACCTGACGTATCACTGACGCAAATATTAGGATTTGCAAAGTTGGAGCAAAATCGGATTATAGTTTCTCTTTCTGTACATAAAATATATTTTTTGAAAATGTCGACCTTTTGTGGGGGAGGTACCATAAGGAGTGGTCCGATATTGTCCATCTCCGAACTCGATCTAAGTTTTACAAAAGTATTACGATGTACCAAGTTTGGACCAAATCGGATACTCCCTTCAAGAGATATCGTGCACACCAACCAGCCAGACAGACAGACGGACATCGCTAGATCGACTCCAAATGTCCTGAAACGGATTTGGTCCAAAGGGACCTAGGGACCTTAAACCATTATTTGGACCTTAAACCATTATTTGGATCATACACGTTTTGGTCGCCTCAAATGATAAATACCCTCTCTAGCCATATGGCTGAGGGTATAAAAAACTATTCAATTTGGGTGAGCAAAAACCCGTAAAATCGGATGAATATGTATATCTAAGTTATATACAAAGCTGAAAGCCGACTTCGATAAAATTTGGGAGTGGTATTTTCGAGCTGTATCTGATGTCAGGTATTATATATTTTTGTTGTGGTGTGCATATTACACATGTGAGGGACTTAAACACAAAATATCTGAACCGATTTGTACTAAAATTTGAAGCACTTGATTTTAGGCAGAATTGCGTCGGAAGTGCCAAAATTCAATCCATTTAGGCTGATATTAGACATTTGGTGCGCAAAAAATCTGAAATCGGATAATGATATTTATGGGAGCTATATCCCAATCAGAACCGATCTTGACAAAAATTTAGACACATATTTCTGAGCTTTATCGGATAATTGGCACCAAAGATTATTGTTGTGGAGTGCATATTACGCATGTGAGGGGCTTAAAACCCCAAATCGGATGAAACATATGTATGGGAGATATAGCTATATCTGAACCAATTTTCACCAAAATTTGAAGCACTTGTTTCTAGGAGTAATTCAGTCGGAATTCAGTCATTTGGACTAATATTGGCCATTTGGTGCACAGTCAACCCGAAATCGGTTTAAAGATATTTATGGGATCTATATTTAAATTTGAACCAATTCTCAACAATTTCAATAGGATTCGTTCTTGGGCTAAACATGTATTGTTTGGAAAATTTCATCTCAATCGGATAACAAAAGCGACCTGCAATTTTTTACAAAAATGCATGGACAGGTGGACGGACTGACATGCATAAATCCACTCAGAAAGTGATTCTATGAAGATCCTCCAAAGTAACTATGAGTCTATCTCGCTTGCTTCTCCATGTTACAAAGGAATGCAGAAAGACAAATACCCTTACCCCTATGTGGCGTAAGGTATAATTATCAAGGTTCTTGAAAAAGTGTGTCTCGAATGTCCTTGGGAAATATGAGCCAATAGATTTCTTCTTCTAAACTAAAATATCCTCACATCCCAAGAAGAGAGTAAAACTCAACTTCATTAGCAACAACTATTCAACCATGGGACATTTTTACACATCGTTGATGGAATCTCTTGCATTTGCTAGGCTTGAAGTGTTAAGCAATTAAGTCTGGTCATAACACACAAGTGTAACATCGTCACAAAACATTGTCGTCAACCATTCAGCCAAGCAAACCATCCATCCACCCGACATGAGAAGAATACTCAAGCTATTAACTGAATTAACTTAATCATACGTAATTACACCGGACGGACGGGCGGACGGACGGATGGACTACCAGGCAGACGGTCAGATGGTTTACTACAAGCTCTGGCATCCATTGCTTGTTAATGTTTTTTGTTCGCACTCTCGCATTTCACTCCAAATGCCTGTAGCAGGTCGGGCATTGCATTCATTCATAAATTCCAATAGACCGCACCGGCGCACTGCCATTTCTACTCAATTCCTCGGTGATGAGTGATTTATGTGGCAAATTCTTTTGGCAAGTACTGCTACTACTACTACGTCCGACTACGACCGAGCTTCAATGGCATACCATCCGCATGTTTACAATCAGTACATGCCGGCACGTCAAACCATTCAGATCGAACGTTTCCGCACAAGTTGAGGGCGCATCGGTGAACGCACGTGACAAAACGAGAATTTTGTGTTTTGGGTTTTATGTTTCGCTGCTGGAAATGAATGCATTTAAATGCTGAGTGACAGACTAACTGCGGGACTGACAGTGACAGTCTGACCACTGTCATCAGTGTATGATTTCAATGTCATATCAAGTGTAATTCCCTGTAATTTAATTCAATTTCTGTTTTTGGTTCGATGTGTTGTGTTCTGTTGTATCTTCTGTATGGGTATGTGTCGGCAGAACCCGCATCATCCCAGTCGTTTAGTGTCACTTGCATCCCTGCATCCAAAAACACCCATTACACACAATAGCCGATGAATGACTGAATTAATTAATCTAAAGAGCCTCGCGCTATTGATTACAAACAATGACAATGGCATTGGTACTTGACCGAAAGATGCGATGCGATCTTGAATATAATGCCACAAAAGTTTTGAGAACAATATCGAATCCAATAGTTTTACATGTGTGTGTGTGTGTTTACCACTACAAGTGTCAATTAATTAATTTGCCATATTTAAGCGATATGATTGATAGGTGGCGATTCCATTAAAAATTGACCTTCACTTGACTCGGAAGGCGAATACTTGGCTACAAAAATGAAAATCAATCTCTTGTCGGAATCTATAATTCAAGACAGTAAGGCCTCAATTTAGGTCTTCATTGGGATTGGGAAATTGCGACTTAAATCGATTGTTATACCCTCAGCCATATGGCTAGAGAGGTGAGATAAAACAAGTTAAAAAGCAGGAAGTTAGGCCGGCCGAACTTTGAATACCCTCCACCATTTGGAAAGAATTTGGAATTTTTCAACAAAACAAATCCCTAAAAAAATCTGTTAAAATTTTAAAAATACCGAATATAGCCGTTATATTGGGGTCTGTACGACGAGGACGTACATTGACATTGTTCGTCATAAGCCATTGCCATATTCTAATTCGAAACTTGAAATAAACGGTGAATAATGTAGCTAAAATCATCAAAATATCGTATATAGGGAGGTACCGTTACCGTTCCGTACCGGAGCTGTGCGAAGACCTGGACCAGTATAGACAATTTTCTGTCACAGGCTATAGCATCCATTATTATCGTCAAATACGATATCTCAAACAATTTCGGTGGGTATTGCACCTAAAATCGTCAATATACCGAATATGGGAAGGTACTGATATATGAGGCCTATACGAAGTCCTGGACCAGCATAGACAATTTTCTGTCACAGACTGTAGTTCCCATAACGAAAAATAAATACGTAATTTAAAACAATTCTGGTGAATAATAACGCTAAAATCATCAAAATACCGAATATTGGGAGGTACCGTTATATGGGGACTATACGTAGACGTGGACCTGCACAAACAATTTTCTGCCTTAAGATGTAGTATCCATTTCGAACTTCAAAATACCGAATATCGGGAGGTACCGTTATATGGAGGCTATACGAAGACGTGGACTTGCACAGACAATTTTCTGTATTAGGCTGTAGTATCCATTACGAACTTCAAATACCAAATTTGAAACAATTCCGGTGAATAATGTCGCTAAAATCATCAAAATACCGAATACCGGAAGGTACCGGGGGGGCTATACGAAAACGTGGATCCATACATACAATATTCCGCCACCAGTGCTACTAGAACCTATAAAAAACTACAAATACCTTTATTTAGACAAACCGTAGAAAAATGTGACAAAAATCATTAAAACACCGAATATTGGGAGGTACTCTTATATGGGGGCTATACAAAAACGTGTACTTATATAACCAAAGCTCCGTCACCGAAGCTGGTATCCACTACAAACAACAAATACCATTTTTTAGAAAAACCCTTAGAAACTGTGACGAAAATAATTAAAATACTGAATATCCGGAGGAACTATACGAAAACATGGACCTAGATTTTCAACATTCAGCCACGGAAGTTAGAACCCACAACAAACTACAAATACCCTTTTTTAGACAAATCCGTTGAAAAATCTGGCAAAAATCATCAAAATACCGAATGTCGGGAGGTAGCCTTATATGGGGGCTGTACGAAAACTCGGACCTACATGTACAATGTTCTGCCACCAGTGCTAGAACCGATTACGAACTACAAATACTAATTATACCCTCTTCCACATGGCTAGAGAGGGTATATATCATTTGATACGGCCAAAACGTGTCTCATCGAAATAACGGTTTTAGGCCTACGTCTCTTTGGACCAAATTCCTTTCAGGACATTTGGAGTCTATCTAGCGATGTCCATCCGCCCGTCCGTCTGTGTGTCTGGCTGGTGCGCACGATAACTCTCGAAGTGAGTATCCGATTCGATCCAAACTTGGTGCATTGTAATATTATTATAAAACTTCGATCGAGTTCGGAGATGGGCAATATCGGTCCACTCCTTCTGGTACCTCCCCCACAAATTGTCAACATTTTCAAAGAAAATAATTTATTGCACAGAAAGAGAAAGGATCCAATTTTGCTCCAGCTTTGCAAATCCTAATATTTACATCAGTTGTAGGTTAGAAGCGAAAATGGAGAAAATCAGTTCACTTCATCAAGTACCTTCCCCACAAAGGGTCAAAATTTTGAATAATTATAACTCTTTTGAAATATGATGTTAGAGTCCGATTGTTTTCAAATTACACATATCAAATTACACATATCTAGTACTTCCCCCACAAAGGCTCAACATTTTGAATATTCATGAAGCTCACAAAACACGAAATTAACATCCGTTTCCATGCAGACTTGGCACAGCTCAATATTTCCATCAACACAAGATCTGTTATAAAGATGGTAGAGATCGGACTATTTCTTCTGGTACCTGCCCCACAGAGGGTCAAAGTTTGGAATAACCAAAAAGATTATAAAATCCGAAATATGTATCCGGTTTCCTTCAAATTCCACACCTTACATTATTTTTACTAACACAAGAGCTGCTGTGAAGATGGGATACATCGGTATACTCCTTCTGTCCGTCCGTCAGTCTGTCCGTGTATTCTTGTGAAAAAAATGCAGGTCGCATTTATTATCAGATTGAGATGAAATTTTCCAAACAATATTTGTTTGGCCCAAGGACGAAGTCTATTGAAATTGGTGAGAATCGGTTCAAATTTAGATATAGCTCCCATATATATCTTCATCCGATTTCGGGTTAATTGTGCCCCATATGGCCAATATCAGTCCAAATGACCTTAATTTTCGCACACCCGACCAAATTCAGTCTAGAAGCAAGTACTTCAAATTTCTTTAAAATCGGTTCAGATATAGCTGTAGTTCCCATAAATATGTTTCATCCGATTTAGGATTTTGAGTCCCTCACATGCGTAATATGCACTCACAGCAATGATATTTGGTAAAGATATCAGATATAGCTCTGAAATAAGTTCCTACAATTTTATCGAGATCGGCTAAGATTTAGATATAGCTCCCATTTATATTCTTAATCCGATTTCAGGTTCATTGCGCAAATAATGGCTAATATCAACCCAAATGGAGTGAATTTCGGGACGTACGTCTCCATTTTGTTGAACTTAGCTCCGATATATATTTTTTTAATATAATCCATCTCGAAGCGATATCATGCACTCTATTTGATATAAAAGATTAAAATGTCTCCGTCAAATTTAGTGAAAATCGGTTCAGAATTGGATATGTCTCCCATATGTTAGTTCCCTCTGAAACCATGCTATAACTGCTCTAAAGCCAAACGTTGATAGGTGGTATGATCTACTTCAAGGGGCTTAGGGTGTAGAGGGGCTCCGAACGTCTTTTGACTTTTCCTTACTGGTTCATATAAAGTCAGTCTATAAATATATAAATATAATTTATGAAGCAGTATATAAATCATTATGTGGAATAATTAAGCATTTGCTTCTACGTTGAAAATCGACCTTATATAGGAGCCTAGCGAGATTTTGCATACGGTTAAAAAAAAGGATATGTAAAACTTGGCTGAGCTTTCCATTTGCTATCGAATTAACTATTCCGTGATCTCGAAGCAGTTGGCCAAATTGACCGATTCGTATCTGACCTAAGACTGATATAAATATTACAACGAGCCAGGTTTGGGCTATGTCGACTACTTCCTATACTTTATATAAAAAATGTGCAATTTTTTGAAAAATTTGGAAAAATGCGTGGGGTGCTAGATATACCGCACCGAGGCATTACATTTTCATACTTCATCTAATACAAATAAAAATATTCGTATGAGCAAAATTACAAAAAAAAAATCGAATATTTATATCCAATTTTATGCGAAATCATAAATTGCTTATTCATTTCAGGTTTCTGGTTGAGAGAAATATTCAGATATAGCTAGTTGTTAGGAATCGCTGACTTGTTTCGCAAGTTAACACAGATACAAGTATTCAAAATTTTAACTTTAATGGGTGAGGTACCAGAAGGGATTCGCAGATATCTATCATCTTCACAACAGATCTTGTGTTAGCAAAAATTTAAGAGAGTTGAATGCTTATTTGGCTTTTTTTGAGCATTTTGTTTGCAAGATCTTCAACCCCAATGTACCAGAATGATCTACTGCTATGGTGGACCAAGTTATTTTAGAACCTAGTCCCCTGTTTTTCCATTGTTCTTCCTCTCGGTGTTCCTAAGATATTTCGGCCTAAATTTAAGCTTATATCTTCCATAAGATAGGCATAACATCTAACTCCCTATTTAAATGCATTGGTGTAAATATCAATGTGAGTGTGTGTGCGTGTGTATGTGTTTGAATACCCACTTGAAGAATAGCCCGAAAAGCTGAAACAATTGATGATGAATTGAAAAATGCAATTCAATTGTTTATCCAAACGATAATTAACTCTATTGTATTGTCCGGATAGGCGAACGAACGACTCCCATACGAATTATCTTTGCAGCAACTACGACTACTACAACGGCAGCAAAGTAAATAAAATGCATAGATAATTGTGTAGGTGTGCAGCATACAGTCTCCATATGTGTATGTGTGCGTGTGTGTGTGTGTGTGTGTTGGCAAATACTATTCAAATGATTTATATTCAACTAATCAATATTTGGTCAAAGACAATAAAAGAAAATGAAAATTGTAAATTGCATTGGCATCATCAGCAGCAGCAACAGCATCTGTCGCCTCAGCATCTTCATCATCATCATCGATGTCTTGTTCTTGGCAAAATTATCAACGGCCACATTAAATGCAAAAGGTGAGTGAGTACATCTGATGACATGTCATTAGTCAATAAATAAGTGAAGTAAATATAGGCACATACAAACATACTTTTTTGTTGTTGAAAATTGCCATCTATTCTTGTGGAGTAAAGTGTTCAGATCAATCAATCAATCAATCGGCCATCAAGGTTGAATGGATATTATTAACCCTTATGATAATTTGATAAAGAAATAGGGTTTATATTTTATAATAAAGATCGATCCCTAGAGAACTCTCATAGAGTTATATCTGCCCGAGAAAAACAAGGTTCTCATGTAGTTCCTGGTGACACAGAAATCTCATCGGTAGCTCTCTAATTTTTAACATAAAACGAAACTCAAGTACAGAGTGGTACAAAAATAAACTTCCGAAGTTTTGTGGCTGTAATTTAAAGAAAAAAAATAACAAGCTAAAAAGCAATAAGATCGGCCGGGCCGAACTTTGAATACCCTCCACCATTTGGATCGAATTTGGAAATTTTCAAAAAATAATATTCTTAAAAAAAATTCTGTTAAACTTTTAAAAATACCAAATATAGCCGTTATATTGGGGTCTATACGACGTGGACCTACATAGGCATTGTTTGTCATAAGCCATTACCATATTCAAATTCGAAAACTAAAAACGGTGAATAATGTAGCTGAAATCATCAAAATATCGTATATAGGGATGTACCGTTACATCGAAGCTGTGCGATGACGTGGACCAGCATAGACAATTTTCTGTCATAGGCTGTAGCATCTAATACGAAGTTCAAATTCGACATTTCAAACAATTTCGTTGGGTATTGTACCTAAACTCGTAAAAGTACCGAATATAGGGAGGTACTGATATATGGGACCTGGACCTACATAGACAATTTTCTGTCACAGACTGTAGATCCCATTACGAATTCTAAATACGCAATTTTGAAACAATTCCGGTGAACAATGACGATAAAATATCAAAATCCCGAATATACGAAGACGTGGACCTGCATAGACAATTTTCTGTCATAGGCTGTAGCATCCATCACAAACTTCAAACACCAAATTTGAAACAATTCCGGTGAATAATGTCGCTAAAATAATCAAAATAAAGAATATAGGGAGGTACCGTTATATAGGGGCTATAGGAAGACGTGGACCACAGTAAATTTTCTTAGGCTGTAGTATCCCTCTCGAACTTCGAATACCAAATTTGAAACAATTCCGGTGAATAATGTAGCTAAAATCATCAAAATACCGAATATCGGGAGGTACGGTTATATGGGGGATATATGAAGACGTGGACCTGCAATGACAATTTTCTGTCATAGGCTGTAGTATCCCTCTCGAACTTCGAATACCAAATTTGAAACAATTCCGGTGAATAATGTCTCTAATATCACCAAAATACCTAATATGGGGAGGTACCATTATATGGGGGCTATACGAAGACGTGGACCTGCATAGACAATTTTCTGTCTTAGGCGGAAGTATTCATTTCGAACTTCAAATACCAAATTTGAAACAATTCCTACGAATAATGTCGCTAAATTAATCATGAAAATACCGAATATCGGGAGGTACCGTTATATGGGGGCTATATGAAAACGTGGACCAACATGGCTCATTTACGAACTTAACATGCCTACTGGCATAATAGACATGTGTGCAAAATTTTAGCCTTCTATCACATTTCGTTCGAAAGATAGCGTGATTTCAACAGACAGACGGACAGACTGACAGACAGACAGACGGACAAGGGTAAATCGTCTTAGAATTATACGGTGACCAAGAATATATATACTTTGTTGGGTCTAAGATCATTATTTCGATGAGTTGCTAACGGAATGACAAAATGAATATACCCTCCATAGTATGGTGGTGGGTATAAAAACCTTGGGCCAACACTTCCGGCGATATGTCCTCAGATTTTTGACAGATATTGTCTTAAAGAGCTGAAAGAGTCTGAAGCTTGTTGACCTAAACCTGCGACTTCAAAAAGCCCCACAAAAAGAAGTCTAGAGCGGTCAAATCAGGCGATCTTGCTGGCCAGTGCAAGATTGTGGCACGTGCAGCGTGTGCCGTTGCACCATCCTATTGGAACCACATGTTTTCTAATCCCAACTCATCAAGTTGCGGCAAAAATAAGTCGTTGATCATTGCTTTGTAGCGCTCACCATTCACAGTAATCGTTTGGCCCGCGACGTTTTAGAAGAAAAAAATTGCGATGACACCTCCAGCGAAAACAGCATACCATACAGTGAGTTTGAGAGGGTGTAATAGCTCTTCGTAAATTACATGTGGATTTTCAGTGCCCCAGAAGCGTAAATTTTGCTTATTAACGTAGCCCCTAAGATGGAAATGGGCCTCACCACTCATGAGTATTATACCCTCAGTCATATGGCTAGAGGGGGTATATATCATTTGAAACGGCCAAAACGTGCCTCATCGAAATAACGGTTTTAGACCCTAGGTCTCTTTGGCCCAAACCCGTTTCAAAATAAAATAGAAAGAGAAAGGATAATCCGATTTTGATCCAACTTTACAATACTAATATTTGCACCAGTGCGACGTCGGTCCACTCCATCAAGTACATCCCCCACAAAGGGTTAAAATTTGGAATAATTAGAAATCTTATAAAATGTGATGTAAGAGTCTGATTATCTAGTTTTATAAACTCAAGGTTTGGTGTAAAGATGGAATGTATCGGTCCAGTAGTTCTGGTACCTCCCCCATAAAGGGTCAAAATTTTGAATATTCATTAAGCTTGTAAGACACGAAATTAACATGCGATTCCATTCAGACTTGGCACATCTCAATATTTCCATAAACATAAGATCTGTTATAAAAATGGTAGAGGTCGGACCATTCTTTCTGGAGCCTCCCCCACAAAGGGTCGTAATTTTGAATAACCAAAACAATCGTAAAATCCGAAATAAGCACTCGGTTCACAATATTTTTATTAACCCAAGGTCTGGTGTGAGGATGGAATATATCGGTCTACTCCTTCTGCTACTCCCCCACCAAGGGTCAAAATTCTGAATATCCATGAAGCTCATAAAACGCGAAATTATTTTCCGATTCCCTTTAGACTTGGCACATCTCAATATTTCCATTATTACAATATCTGTTAATAAGATGGGACCTATCGGACCATTTCTTCTAGTACCTCCCCCACAAAGGGTCAAAGTTTTAAATAACCAAAACGAGTCTAAGATCCTAAATAAACATCCGGTTGTCTTTAAATTTCACACATCACTATATTTTTATAAACCCAAGGTCTGGTGTGAAGATGGAGTGTATCGGTCCGCTCCTTCTGGTACCTCCCCCACAAAGTGTCAAATTTTGAATATCCATGAAGCTGATAAAACCTGAAATTAACAGTTAACCGATTCCATTCAGACTTGGCACATCTCAATATTTCTATCAACACAAGATCTGTTATAAAGATGGTGGTGATTGGACCATTCCTTCAACAAAAGGTCAAAGTTTTTTATAACCAAAACGATAATAAAATCCGAAATAAACATCCGGTTCTCTTTAAATTTCACACATCCCAACATTTCTACTAATATAAGATCTGCTGTGAAGATGGAATGTATCGGTCCACTCCTTCGGGTTGAATCTACTCCAACTTTGGAGCCTGCAGGCGTTACTTAGTTTCGTCTCCTGTACAGGAACGACCCTAATGTTCTTTCGACTCATACCATTTACTTTTTTTGTTGTTCTTAACTCGAAGACCATCGCAGTTGGGTTAAATGCTGCATAAATTGCTGGGGAGTTTCGTGCGGCGACGATGAAAACGTGGACGATAACTTCTCATTAGCGCAGCATAAAATAATGTGGTCCCTATCGCTGTTCTACATAATTTGGTTAAAGGCGAAACAATGTCAAAAATTCATTTGCTTCCTACTTCCTTCGCATCTCACCGAGATCGATCTATGGTGGATGTGGTTACGACAAATGAAGCAAAATTATCGTCTGGAGTTAGGGTCAATCCCGACTCGGACCAAGAGAATTCGGAGCAAAGATTCCAGGTAATGTTGCCCCATATCAGAAAAATTGACGAACATATAGTTGCTGGGTTGACGGCGCCTGGTTTAAGAAATGTTCGAGGCAATCCGGTGCCTTAAACCGACAGAAGCGGGATTGTGCTAAGTTTGTGGATTTCTGAATTTAATTGACGTTTGACCCTAATTTGCCGTTTTTTTAAGAATTCTTTGCTTCACCCAATGTGGTGGAAATTTTCTTGGCCTATAGGCGAATATCAGCCATTCGATATTGTGAAACAGAAACGTATACACCGATTATTATGGCCTCCGCTTATAATCCGTGCTGATATTTTTGAAAACCCTTTGACCGATTTTTGAAACGAAGCTGGCAAATAAATTACATTCCAATCTTCAGTCTAAGGCAAGGAAGACTGCTTCATGTATCCTCACTCAATCCTTGTTAAGACAGCTTTATTTGAAAGTTATCAAATACTACTCCCTTCGTTCTCATCTTTAGTAAATAATTTCTGATACCTTGATTGAAAAGATGTCGCTTTTATATTTCCATGGCTTTCCGGCTTTTAAAGGAGAAATTTTAAAATAAGAAATTCATGGAATAGCAGATGTCTTTCTTTTGAAATGGCTTTTGAAATTGTTTCTCTTATTGAAGTTATTTCAACTGATCTGAGGGTTAATCACCAACGTTTACATTGTTAATAACACTAAATTTCCAACTCAATTATTAAAATATAAGTAAAGACTTTGAAGAGGTCGACAAACATACATAGGCCATAGCATCAATAATGATAATTTGTAGGTATGTAAACATTTTTCAGTATTCATGTCAATAATTGTTTAATGAATATGGCAGAGAACTTGTGATGAAGTTATTACAATGATATATCACATGGAAAATTAATAAAGGTTGTTTCCAGTTCCAGATTTTTATCCGTTAAAACTTAGGATGAAAATATCTGCCGCCTTTAAAATATTATAGGAAAAAAATTAAAAAAAAATTAGGCTGTACAAAAATTAAAAATGTGGTGAGGATAAAAACGATACAGGTTCTAATATCAGGATCAATTATAAAATCATTTAAAATTTAAATTAAATTTTGGGCATATGGCCACCGCGACTATTTTGCACAAAGATCATTCTGTTGCCAAGACTTTCGACTAACTTTTCAAGCATTTGAGGACGTATTTCAGCAATGACACGTTGAATATTGGCTTCCAAAGTGTCAACCAAAGACTTCAGACATGCCCATAAAAAATAATCGAATGGCGTCATATCACACGAACGCGGAGGTCAATTCACCGGTACATTTCTGGAAAAAATGTCGTCGAAAAAATATCTTTCAATAAATACATTGTTTCGGCCGCAAGTAGCACGACGACGAATCGATAAATTGCAGTTTTCTTCGACACTGGCCTCAACGACTGCAATATTTTCTTTGGAAGAGATCTTCTCATTCTTTTCGGTGGCTTGGCATCTAAAAGGGTGAATGTTTACCGAAATTTGGTAATTACGTTCTTTACGGAGTTCTCAGACGGACGATTATCTGCGCCATAAAATTTACGAAGTGCTCTAATTGAACCCTGTTTTTGGAAATAAATTTCCACGGTTTGAGAGCGTTGTTCTGTTATTTACCTATTCATGATGAACATATTCTGAATAGGGACTTAACTTAACTTGTAAAAACAGCTCTGTTGTTTGAATGATCCTTTAAAAAAATAAGTTAAAAAGTATCAGTCGGTTTTGCTGACAGATATATATACCCCCAGCCATGACTTATGATTATTCAAACTGTGGACCTTTTCTGAAGCAGTTGGCCAATATTGACCAATTCGTATCTGACCTAAGACTGATATAAATATTACAACGTGCCAGATTTGGACTATATCACTACTCCTTACACCTTAAATGAATGAATTTGCAAATTTTTAGAAAATGTGGAAATATATGTGAGGTAACAGATATAGCGGAGCGAAATATTCCATTTTCATACTACTTCTAATATAGATAAAAATATTGGAATGTGCAAGAAAATCGAACAATTGTATGCGAAATCATAAATTTCATATTTACTTCAGATTTCTGGTTAAGGGAAATATTTAGATATAACAAATTGTAAAGAATCGCCCACTTGTTTCGCAGGTTATGACAGATTAAGCTATTGAAAATTATGACCGTTGGAGGGTGAAGTCCCAGAAAGGCTTCGAAGACATATATCATCTTTACAACAGATCTCGTGTTAGCAAAAATATTTTGATTTGTTAAATTTGAAGAGAGTTTGATGCTTATTTTGCTTTCTTTGAGCGTGTTTTTCATAATCTTGAACCCTATGTGGGGGAGGTACCAGAAGAAATGGTTCGTTCTGTACCATTTTTATAAGAGATATGTTGTTGATGGAAATATTGAGATTTGCCAAGTCTGAATGGAATCGGATGTTGATTTCGCATTTTATAGGGGGAGGTACCAGAAGGAGTGGACCATCTTCACTTCAGACCTTGTGTTAGTAGAAATAATGGGATGTGTGAAATATGAAGAGCACCGGATGCCTATTTCAGATTTTATGATCGTTTTGGTTATTCAAAACGTTGACCCTTAATGGGAGATGTACAAGAAAAAATGGTCCGATCTCTAATGTCTTTATAACTGATCTTGTGTTAATGTAGATATTGAGATGTGCCTAGTCTGAATGGAATCGGATGTTAATTTTGCGTTTTATTAGCTGGATATTCAACATTTTGATCTTTGGGGGGGGGGGTGTGTTGGGTACCAGAAGGAGTGTACCATCTTCACAGCAGACCTTGTGTTAGTAGAAATAATGAGGAGTGTTAAATATGAAGAGAGCCGGATACTTATTTCGGATTTTATAATCGTTTTGGTTATTCAAAAAGTTGACCCTTTGTGGGGGAGGTACCAGGAGGAATGATCCGATCTCGACCATCTCTGTAACAGATCTTGTGTTGATGGAAATATTGAGATTTGCCAATTCTGATTGGAAATATGAGCGTTTTATGAGCTTCATGGATATTCAAAATGTTGACCCTTTGTGGGGAAGGTACCAGAAGGAGAGGGCCGATATATCCCATCTTTACAGCAGATATTGTGTTAGTAGAGTTAATGGGTTGTGCGAATTTTGAAGTGATACGGATGCTCAATTCAGATTTAATGCTCTTTTTGGTTATTCAAAATGTTGACCCTTTGTGGGGGAGGTACCAGAGGGAATGGTCGGATCACTACCATATTTATAACAGATCTTGTGTTGATGAAATATTGAGATGTGCAAAGTCTAAATGGAATGAAATGTTAATTTGGCGTTTTATGAGCTTAATGGATATTCAAAATTTTGACCCTTTGTAGGGAGGTACCAGAAGGAATGGATCGGTATACATATGCGATCATTATAGCAGATCTTGTGTTAGTAGAAATAATGGCTTGTGGAAAATTTTAAGGGAACCGGATGCTTATTTCGGATTTTATGATCGTTTTGGTTTTTCAAAATGTTGACCCTTTGTGGGGAAGGTACCAGAAGAAATGGTCCGGTTATCTATGATCTTTATAACAGATTTTGTGTTGATAGAAATATTGAGATGAACCAAGTCTGACTGAAATTGGATGTTTATTTCGCGTTTTATGAGCGCCATTGGTCACTTCGTAGGAGAGATACCAGAAGGAATTGTCCGATATCTACCATCTTTATAGCAGATCTTGTGTTGATAGAAACATTGAGATGTATCAAGTCTAAATAGAATAAAATGTTAATTTCGCGTTTTATGACCTTCATGGATAATCAAAATGTTGACCCTTTGTGGGGGAGGTACCAGAAGGAGTGGACCGATATATTACCTTTTCACACCAGGCCTTGTGTTAATAAAAATATTGCTATATGTGTAATTTAAAGACAGCCGAACTCTTAAATTACATTTTATAAGAGTTATAATTATTCAAAATATTTTTTATGGTGTAGGCACTTGTTGAAGTGGACCGATATTGTCCGTTTTCGCACCTTACCTATCACTGATGCAAATATTAGGATTTACAAATTTGGAGCAGAATAGGATTATCCTTTCTCTTTCTGTGTAGTAAAATAAATATATATATATATATTTTTTTTTTAAATTTCTGGTGGGGGTACCAGAAGGAGTGGACCAATATTGCCCATCTTCGAACTCGATCTAAGTTTGACAATAATATTATGATCTATTAAATTTGCACCAAATCGGATACTCCCTTCGAGAGTTATCGTGCGAACCAGATAGCCAGCCAGTCAGAGAGACATCACTAGATCGGACATCATTAGATCGACTCCAAATTTCTTGGAACGGATTTTGTCCAAAGATACCTAGGGTCTAAAGCCATTATTTCGATGAGGCACGTTTTGGCCATATTAAATGATATATACCCTCTATAGCCATAAGGCTGAGGGTAAAAACTCAACTTTTTTATTCTCTATCAAATTTCTTCCCGCATGGTCCTAGAGAAGACATTTTAATGACATTTTTTTTTCCTATCGAATTTCACCCAAAAAAATTTACTATTTTTAAAATTTTCATTTTTTTTAAGTGATTTCAAATATGAAAATATTCCAAATATGACCTAAATATGATCCAGCCTCTCAACAACTTATCTATCAATTATTTTTGGAAGCCCACAATACACGCCAATCATCCGAAATACAAATTACAATAGAATTAAACACATACCTAACCACCACCGAACATCTATGAATTTCTTAATTCTCTCAATTCCAGGCGAACCCATCGAAATTCTATTCCTCATCCGGAGTCAACCCACTCCGCCACACAGTCAATTAGGTCAGCATCTCAAGGAGAATCTCACCAGGCAAGCAACGCAGCTGCAGCCCGACTACAACATCAAAGTACACATCTTGCATGAATTATTCAATTATCCTGGGCAATGGACAATACTACACATCATGTCACATCTAATGGCCGGCCAGGCCATGGGGATAACAACAACAACACCACAGCCAAGCACAACAACTAAACAAATTGACAATGGAATGGAATTAATAACCAATCTGACCAGATGGATAATCTTCTGTGAGGAAACGACCAGCATTAATGTGCGTCAACTCCTGGCAAGATTAACCGACGAAAATCACAAACAGGTATTTGGGTGGGTGCCCCTTAGAGGGTGGTGGGGTGGTAGGGATTTTTGTTGTTAACTGATTCATTTTGAAATGCATTTCGAAAATTGATGTAATGTTATTGTTCACACCCGCATCTTGCTTTCTCTGGCTGTTCCGGTGCGGACTCTGTGTGTGCGAACAACAGCCTTTGTTTCTAGGCCATCCATTGTACGATCGGGAACCGACAATAATACATCACTTTGCATTTTTCGAGAATCCCAAATGGTTTCCATATCCAATGTTGGGCGCCGGTGTCGTGTTTAGCTTGCCGCTGCTTAAAAGGTAGGTTGGCTTTACGCTTTTGACTTTTGCGAATTTTTGTATGTGTGTGTGTGAGTGGGAGTATGTCTGAGCGTGAGTTTGGTTACAGGTGTACATGTTCACAATGTTCGAATATCAAAATATACACAACAGTATGAGACAGTGGTTCAAATAAGGGCAGAATGAAAGAAGATGCCCACACTCGGAAAGGCTAATCGAACGTATGTTCAATCTATGAGAAGACCCTTTGGTCTTCTATGAGAAGACCCTTTGTTCTTCTATGAGAAGACCCTTTGTTCTTCTATGAGAAGACCCTTTGGTCTTCTATGAGGAGACCCCTTGGTCTTCTATGAGGAGACCACTTGGTCTTCTATGAGAACCCCCTTTGGTCTTCTATGAGAAGACCCTTTGGTCTTCTATGAGGAGACCCCTTGGTCTTCTATGAGAAGACCCTTTTGTCTTCTATGAGGAGACCCTTTGGTCTTCCATTAGGAGACTCTTTGGCCTTCTATCAGTAGACTCATTGGTCTTCTATGAGAAGACCCGTTGGTCTTTCATGAGAACACCCTTTGGTCTGCTATGAGAAGACTCTTTGATCTTCTATGAGAAGACAATTTGGTCTGCTATTAGAAGATCCTTTGATCTTCTATGAGAAGATCCTTTGGTCTTCTATGAGTAGACCTACTCGAGCTCTGCTATGAGTAGACCTCCTCGAGCTCTGCTATGAGGAGACCTCCTCGAGCTCTTCTATGAGGAGACCTCCTCGAGCTCTTCTAGCCGAAGACCTCCAGATCTTCTATGAGGAGACCTCCAGCTCTTCTAGGCGAAGACCTCCAGCTCTTCTAGGCGAAGACCTCCAGCTCTTCTAGGCGAAGACCTCCAGCTCTTCTAGGCGAAGACCTACAGCTCTTCTAGGCGAAGACCTACAGCTCTTCTAGGCGAAGACCTCCAGCTCTTCTAGGCGAAGTCCTCCAGCTCTTCTAGGCGAAGACCTCCAGCTCTTCTAGGCGAAGACCTCCAGCTCTTCTAGGCGAAGACCTCCAGCTCTTCTAGGCGAAGACCTCCAGCTCTTCTAGGCGAAGACCTCGAGCTCTTCTATGAGAAGACCTCCAGCTCTTCTAGGCGAAGACCTCGAGCTCTTCTAGGCGAAGACCTCGAGCTCTTCTATGAGAAGACCTCCAGCTCTTCTGTGAGAACCTCCTGCTCTTCTATGCGAATACCTCCAGCTCTTCTATGTGAATACCTCCAGCTCTTCTATGCGAATACCTTCAGCTCTTCTATGCGAATACCTCCAGCTCTTCTATGCGAATACCTCCAGCTCTTCTATGCGAATACCTCCAGCTCTTCTATGAGCAGAACTTAAGCTCTTCTATGAGCAGACCTTAAGCTCTTCTATGAGAAGACCTCCAGCTCTTCTATGCGAAGACCTCCAGCTCTTCTATGCGAAGACCTCTAGCTCTTCCATGCGAAGACCTCCAGCTCTTCTATGCGAAGACCTCTAGCTCTTCCATGCGAAGACCTCCAGCTCTTCTATGCGAAGACCTCCAGCTCTTCTATGCGAAGACCTCCAGCTCTTCTATGCGAAGACCTCCAGCTCTTCTATGAGAAGACCTCCTCGTCTTCTATGAGAAGACCCCTTTGGTCTTCTATGAGAAGACCCCTTTGGTCTTCTATGAGAAGACCCCTTTGGTCTTCTATGAGAAGACCCCTTTGGTCTTCTATGAGAAGACCCCTTTGGTCTTCTATGAGAAGACCCCTATGGTCTTCTATGAGAAGACCTCCACGTCTTCTATGAGAAGACCTCCTCGTCTTCTATGAGAAGACCTCCTCGTCTTCGCTCTTCTATGCGAAGACCTCCAGCTCTTCTATGCGAAGACCTCCAGCTCTTCTATGCGAAGACCTCCAGCTCTTCTATGCGAAGACCTCCAGCTCTTCTATGCGAAGACCTCCAGCTCTTCTATGCGAGACCTCCAGCTCTTCTATGCGAAGACCTCTAGCTCTTCTATGCGAAGACCTCCAGCTCTTCTATGCGAAGACCTCCAGCTCTTCTATGCGAAGACCTCCAGCTCTTCTATGCGAAGACCTCCAGCTCTTCTATGCGAAGACCTCCAGCTCTTCTATGCGAAGACCTCCAGCTCTTCTATGCGAAGACCTCCAGCTCTTCTATGTGAAGACCTCCAGCTCTTCTATGAGAAGACCTCCTCGTCTTCTATGAGAAGACCTCCTCGTCTTCTATGAGAAGAACTCCTCGTCTTCTATGAGAAGACCTCCTCGTCTTCTATGAGAAGACCTCCTCGTCTGCTATGAGAAGACCTCCTCGTCTTCTATGAGAAGACCTCCTCGTCTTCTATGAGAAGACCTCCTCTTCTTCTATGAGAAGACCTCCTCGTCTTCTATGAGAAGACCTCCAGCTCTTCTATGAGAAGACCTCCAACTCTTCTATGAGAAGACATTATCCCCGACTATGAGAAAGCCTTCTCCGTCTTTCGTTAGAAGTCCTTTTAGACTTGTATGAGAATCACTTCTGTTTTTCTATGAGAGGTCCATCTGCTCTTTTTAGAGAAGAACTTCTATAAGAAGACTTTCTCTTCCTTCTAGTCTTCCACAGAAAGTCCTCCACAAACTCTTCTTCTCATTTTATGGACTTCCCCCATCGAGCCCAATTGAACCACTGTTCCATGGAAACATCCTGCATTTTTTCGGTTCGGGTTTTGCAAAGCTATTTTGATTTATTTGTGTTTATTTTGTAATTTTTTAGTTTGTTGTTGTTGCTGTTGTGTTGGTGGTAACACGTTGTTGCCATTAACTTTAACAGAAAAATCTGTTGCTGGTTTTCTTTGTGTGTGTGTGTGTGCGGGAGAAGCCATGAGTAGGAATGTTATTTGTCTGGCTGCCTAGGCAATGCGTATGAGCAACATTCGAACCCGAACTTGGTTGAATGATTGTTGGGTGCTTGTGTGTGTGTTTTTGTGTTTGTGAATAGATGTCGGTACATATTTGCTCTTTAACACATTAGAATCCTGTTTAGTCCTTTCATCATTGTTCCTTCACATCTCTTTTCCTCCCCCTCAAAATGTTTTCCATGGCCATGGAAACGACAGCATTGCCGACATTTTTGGCCACCACAACGAAAATCAGCAGCCTCCGCTTCTACATTCCGAGTTTAGCATCGATGCAGCCCATGAGCTGGCTCGTTTCATTTATGATAATGTCCAAGTGTCAGAAGCAGACGAACTCCAAGCCGAGGTAGTCGAAGAAGAAGATGTTAAGCCTGTAAACACAGCGAGAACATCATTACTAAATGATAGTAAAAGTCCTGATGTCACTATCCATTACCGAACAGCTAGCATTGGCATAGCCACAACAAAGCTCCAGCAACATCCGCACACACAGGATGACACAGTACAATCTAAGGCCAACACTCCACCAGCCATGGAGGATGATAACACGCATCCCCATCACCAGCATCAGTATCCTCCTCGTCGTTATGATGATGGCGTTGATAATACCTCTGATTTGCGACATCCTAATGAAATCATTGATGAGGCTGGGTCAAAGGTTTTGCCTCTGCGACGGGGCAAAAAGAAAACGAAGAAAATAATTTTAAAGAAAGCTCCATACATCTGTCCCGAAGCCAACTGGGAGACCGGAAACCCAATGTCGAACAAAGCATGTGCCATGTATGCCAGAGCACAAAGCAAGTCATCAACATTGCCCGAGTCATGTGTAAGTACAATCCGTGATGGGAATAAAAAGCAACAACAGGAGGACACACATACAGACAGATAGACAGACACAGGGACACACAGAACCATGGGCATAGATTTGGTTACACATCAAATGTTGCTTTGCCATTGAGCTTTGAACATTGTCAACTATTATTTCAATCACAAAGCAAGGTTTGAATATCATATTTATTATTGGATGTGTATGAGGAGGGAATGCAAAGGGGAGGGAGGACTGAAGATGTGATATATAAAGTCATGACACATACTATAACAATGTAATAAAATTCCACAGAAATTTTCATAGAAGACATCCTCGGTATCTTCTATGAGAAAACCTTGAGCTCTTCTATTAAAAGACCTCCTCGAGCTAGTCTATCAGAAGACATTCTTGAGCTAGTCTATCAGAAGACATTCTTGAGCTCTTCTATGAGAAGACCTCCACGAGCTCTTCTACGCGAAGACCTCCTCGAGCTCTTCTACGCGAAGACCTCCTCGAGCTCTCCTACGAGAAGACCTCCTCGAGCTCTTCTACGAGAAGACCTCCTCGAGCTCTTCTACGCGAAGATGAAAATCTATTTTGCCGTCAAAACTTGCTCGAAATTTCACAGGGAACGTCTACCGATAATACAGACCACTTGGGCGCCATATGCAAAGCATATCCACTATTTCAGCGATACTGAAGGTATGTGGGTCTCAAAATATGATGGATAGGTTTTCGAACCCTAAACCTCCTCCTCGAGCTCTTCTACGCGAAGACATCCTCGAGCTCTTCTACGCGAAGACATCCTCGAGCTCTTCTACGCGAAGACCTCCTCGAGCTCTTCTACGCGAAGACCTTCTACGAAAAGACCTCCTCGAGCTCTTCTATGAGAAGACCTCCTTGGAGCTCTTCTATGAGAAGACCTCCTTGGAGCTCTTCTATGAGAAGACCTCCTTGGAGCTCTTCTATGAGAAGACCTCCTTGGAGCTCTTCTATGAGAAGACCTCCTTGGAGCTATTCTATGAGAAGACCTCCTTGGAGCTTTCTATGAGAAGACCTCCTTGGAGCTCTTCTATGAGAAGATCTCCTTGAGCTCTTCTATAGGAAGTACTCCTTGATCTCTTCTATAGGAAGACCTCCTCGAGCTCTTCTATGAGAAGACCTCATCGAGCTCTTCTATGAGAAGACCTCATCGAGCTCTTCTATGAGAAGACCTCCCTGAGCTCTTCTATAGGAAGACCTCCTTGAGCTCTTCTATAGGAAGACCTCCATGAGCTCTTCTATAGGAAGACCTCCTTGAGCTCTTCTATGAGAAGACCTCCTTGAGCTCTTCTATGAGAAGACTATTCGAGAAGTCCTCCTCGAGCTCTTCTATGAGAAGTCCTTGGGCCTTATTTTAATGTTTATTTTTTTAATTTTGTCTTTCCAGATACCAGCCAAGAGGGATGAAATCTATTTTGCCGTCAAAACTTGCTCGAAATTTCACAGGGAACGTCTACCGATAATACAGACCACTTGGGCGCCATATGCAAAGCATATCCACTATTTCAGCGATACTGAAGGTATGTGGGTCTCAAAATATGATGGATAGGTTTTCGAACCCTAAACAAGACAATTTCTGAGTGAAATTTTGAAATTGGCTATTGATTTAATTTACCATTGATGGCATGTCTAAGAGCGATTTTTCGCTCTCCCGACCTTCTCACATACGATATACCCCAATACATTTTGTTTACATCAGTTCCCATTAGTTTCAATCTATTGCAACATACATCTATGCTAATTGAAAATGATGATTGATATCACTCTCTTTCCTCATTTTCCTCACCTCTCTATTTCTTCCTGACATGCCTACCTTTCCTCCGCAGATGTCAACATACCAACAATCAATACTGGCATTGCAAATGTTGAAATGGGACATTGTGCCAAAACGTTACAAATTCTTAAATTGGCTCTGAGGGATATTGAAAACCACAACAACTACAACAACGACAACAATTTTATCAACAATAAGAACAACCGACACTATCATCAACACCTCAACCAATCGGGAGGGAAGAAATCGCATCAAATTCGTTGGTTGCTATTGACCGATGATGATACTTTATTGAGGTAAGTGAGGAGGTCCAAAGGTAATAATTATGCCACAATAATATTGAGGAAATATGAAAATGTGGAGTAGGTGTTTATATTAATTTTTGAGTCTCCTCTCCCTCCCTTCTCCCTCCTATCATACAAATGACCATCGGCTAAGATTCATTCGAATGCTCCCAATTCTTTTTTCCAATTAAAATTTCAATTTATTTTCATCGTTTCGGATTAAGGATATTCAGCTTCATTGCTTTCAATATGGAATTGCCATATTGATAATCAGGATATGTTCTGTTGCATTTTTTTAACTTCATAACATTGTTGTCTGGCTGTTTGTACACGTTTTGAGGTCACCTCATGTCTGGTGGGTTAAGTTGTTGGGCATTTACATGGATTTTGGTGGCGATAAAGTTGGGAAATATTTGGTCGACTGGAATGTGGGCAACAAGTTAAATAGTGGGGTATGGGAAAACAGTGGAACGAAGAATAGAAGAGCTGGAGATCTTCTAATATAAGAGCTGGAAGCCTTCTCATAGAAGATAAGGAAGTGATTTCATAGAAAAGCAGGAAGTCTTATCATAGAAGACCAGGAAGTCTTCCCATAGAGGACGAGAAAGTATCTTCATAGAAGACCAAAAAATCTTTTTAAAGAAGCCCCGAGGTCTTCTCGTAGAAGACGAGAAGGTCTACTCATCGAAAGCCGAGAGGTCTTAAAGAAGAAGAGCTCAAGGTTCTTTTTCAGAAGAGTTCAAAGAGTACGCATAGAAGAGCTCAAGATCTTCTCATAGAAGAGCTCGAGGAGGTCTTCTTATAGAAGAGCTCGAGGAGGTCTTCTTATAGAAGAGCTCGAGGAGGTCTTCTTATAGAAGAACTTGAGGAGGTCTTCTTATAGAAGAGCTCGAGGAGGTCTTCTTATTGAAGAGCTCGAGGAGGTCTTCTTATAGAAGAGCTCGAGGAGGTCTTCTTATAGAAGAACTTGAGGAGGTCTTCTTATAGAAGAGCTCGAGGAGGTCTTCTTATAGAAGAGCTCGAGGAGGTCTTCTTATAGAAAAGCTCGAGGAGGTCTTCTTATAGAAAAGCTCGAGGAGGTCTTCTTATAGAAGAGCTCACCGAGGTCTTCTTATAGAAGAGCTCACCGAGGTCTTCGCTAGAAGAGCTCACCGAGGTCTTCGCTAGAAGACCAAGGGGTGTTCTCATAGAATGCCAAAGGATCTTCTCATAGAAATCCAAAGGATCTTCCCATAAAAGACCAAAAGTTATTCCAATAGCAGACCAAAGGGTCTTGTCATAGAAGTCCAAAGGGTCTTGTCATAGAAGATAAGGAAGTGAGTTCATAGAAAAGCAGAAAGTCTTATCATGGAAGACAAGGAAGTCTTCCAATAGAGGACCAGAAAATATCTTCATAGAAGACCAGAAAGTCTTTTTAAAGAAGCCCCGAGGTTTTCTCGTAGAAGACGAGAAGGTCTACTCATCGAAGGCCGAGAGGTCTTCTTAAAGAAGAAAAAAAAGAAGAGCTCAAGGTCCTTTTTCAGAAGAGTTCAAGGTCTTCTCATAGAAGAGCTAGAGGAGGTCTTCTTATAGAAGAGCTCGAGGAGGTCTTCTTATAGAAGAGCTCGAGGAGGTCTTCTTATAGAAGAGCTCGAGGAGGTCTTCTTATAGAAGAGCTCGAGGAGGTCTTCTTATAGAAGAGCTCGAGGAGGTCTTCTTATAGAAGAGCTCGAGGAGGTATTCTTATAGAAGAGCTCAAGGAGGTCTTCTCATAGAAGAGCTCAAGGAGGTCTTCTCATAGAAGAGCTCAAGGGGGTCTTCTCATAGAAGAGCTCAAGGAGGTCTTCTCATAGAAGAGCCCAAGAGGAGGTCTTCTCATAGAAGAGCCCAAGAGGAGGTCTTCTCATAGAAGAGCCCAAGAGGAGGTCCTCTCATAGAAGAGCCCAAGAGGAGGTCTTCTCATAGAAGAGCCCAAGAGGAGGTCTTCTCATAGAAGAGCCCAAGAGGAGGTCTTCTCATAGAAGAGCCCAAGAGGAGGTCTTCTCATAGAAGAGCCCAAGAGGAGGTCTTCTCATAGAAGAGCCCAAGAGGAGGTCTTCTCATAGAAGAGCCCAAGAGGAGGTCTTCTCATAGAAGAGCCCAAGAGGAGGTCTTCTCATAGAAGAGCCCAAGAGGAGGTCTTCTCATAGAAGAGCCCAAGAGGAGGTCTTCTCATAAAAGAGCCCAAGAGGAGGTCTTCTCATAGAAGAGCCCAAGAGGAGGTCTTCTCATAGAAGAGCCCAAGAGGAGGTCTTCTCATAGAAGAGCCCAAGAGGAGGTCTTCTCATAGAAGAGCCCAAGAGGAGGTCTTCTCATAGAAGAGCCCAAGAGGAGGTCTTCTCATAGAAGAGCCCAAGAGGAGGTCTTCTCATAGAAGAGCTCGAGGAGGTCTTCTCATAGTAGAGCGCGAGGATGTCTTCTCATAGAAGAGCTCGAGGAGGTCTTCTCATAGAAGAGCTCGAGGAGGTCTTCTCATAGAAGAGCTCGAGGAGGTCTTCTCATAGGAGACCAAAGGGTCTTCTCATAGGAGACCAAAGGGTCTTCTCATAGGAGACCAAAGGGTCTTCTCGTAGAAGACCAAAGGGTCTTCTCATAGAAGACCAAAGGGTCTTCTCATAGAATGTCTTCTTAAACACCAAGAGATCTTCTTAAAGAAGACCAGGAGATATTCTTATGTATTTATACAAAATAAGACTTATTCCCAAATATGGCGCCGAACCTGAAACTCCATCTCCATAAGATGTTATGCTTAGAATCAGGAAACATTTATGGATTCCGAGATGTATTTGTAGACTCGAAAGTTCCTAGAATATTAAGGTTAAAAGTTGCAAATATTGCGCCCAACATGAGGTTCCTCCTCATTATAATTGTGTGTGGTTTCAAATAGTTTTTTTTTTTTCAGAAGTATTTTGTGGAAGGCCAAAAAGAAGAAATAGAAAGATGGGTTGTCTCAAATTGGCTCTTTTGATAATGGCGCCCAACGTAAATATTTTAGATCTTCCCAGATAAGAGCATAGATATCACTTCCCATAAAGAACCTTTTCGAGAATCTCACGATTTTCCTACTCCCTTTCGACCATAGGGGATTCATCAAAATCTCTTCTCCGTTTAATGCCCCCCTACACATAGTTCATCAATCTATTTACCCTATCTGCCATTTGTTTAATTTAATTCCGGGCGGGAATAAAAAAATAAAATTAACGGAAACGCATGCAAAAAAAACGACTTTCAAGTGCAGCACTTGACTGTTAATGTTTGAACTCTCACACCACTGTTGCCGCTGAGTGGCCAAGTCAGTCGTCCTTCAATTGGCAACAGCAAAACCATTGAATTGAAATTTACCTAACCAAACACATTGTTCGCGCCACATTATTATATCCAATAATGTTGCCATGAATGAATTCCACCTCCACTTCTCCGTATTCCCATTCTCCATCTTCCAGGACTTTTTTAGTTCGTTTTAATATGATATCTTCTCTGCTCCTTTATCTCCTTCACAGCGTTTCAGGTGTTTGCCAAGTACTCGGTTGTTACAATTCAATGGATGAAATCTATCTGGGCGAACGTTACGGCTATCGTCTGCATGCTCCCGATGGCTTTAATTACATAACGGGAGGCGGTGGCATTGCCCTCTCGGTGCCGGCCCTCAGACGCATTGTGCAGCACTGTAGCTGTCCAACGCCGTCGGCACCCGACGATATGATTTTGGGTTCCTGTTTGCACACACTCCAGATGAAAGCTCTTCATTCAGCGCATTTCCATCAAGTAGGATACTTTAATGTTATTTGCATTGGCGCCTAGAGTAATGACACATAAATACGAAAAAAAAACATGAGCTCACATACATGAATCATTACATATGTATATGTATGTATACACATACATATATGCATGTATGTATGTGAGACATATGCTGTGTTAATAAAAAGGCTTCAAAGGCTAGATGGCTTGGTTAACCCATATTTACATCATTGTTCTCCCTCTCTCTCTCTCACTCTTTCCCCCTCTTTTTCTATATTCAACAGGCTCGTCCCAGTGATTACCCTACGGAACGTTTGAAACATGATAAGCCCGTATCCTTTCACAAATTCTGGCAAATGGATCCCCGAGAAATTTACCATCAATGGTTCTTTGACAACGATGATCGCATGCTACTGAGTGAGGCCAAAGCCATCGATGAGGAGATTAAAAATCACAGAGGTCATCCTATCCTAGCTGAGGACAACATACAATACTATCACAAAAATCGTAATCTCTTGGCCAAGCCGGAAGAGTTGGATGATTTGAATGTACCTGTATCGTTGATAGCCACTCTGCACCAGCACAGCAAAGAGCGGCATGTCGATTTGTAGTTGTAATTATTTTTGTAAAAAAGAGCTGTAAATAAATAAATAAAAAAGGATAAATTGTAAATATATTAAAAAATTAAATAAATAAAAGTTTTCATGAAAATTATGTTAATATAACAAAATGTATTTATTCGGCCCGGCAGAACTTTGAATACCATTAGGAACGAATTGGGAAATTTTCAAAAAAAAATAAAATCTATTAAAAATTCTGTTAAAAACTTAAAAACATCGAATATCAGAAGGTGCCCATATGTCTGGGGGGTTAAGTACTCACAAAGAACTCCTTGTGTAGAATTTCAGATAATTCCGTTAAAAAATGTTGCTAAAATCATCAAAATACCGAATACCGGGGGGTAGCGTTATACTGGGGATATACGATATCGTGCACCTATGTAGACAATTCTCTTTCAGGGGGTAAAGTGCTCACAAAGAACTCCTTGAGTAGCGTTTCAGACAAATCCGTTGAAAATTGTGGCTAAATTCATCAAAATACCGAAAATCGGGGGGTACCGTTATATGGGGGCTATACGACATGGTGGACCTATATAGACAATTCTCTTTCAGAGGATAAATTACTCACAATGGACTTCTTGTGTGGAATTTCAGACACTTCCATTGAGAAATGTGGCTAAAATCATCAAAATACCGATAATCGGGGGGTACCGTTATATGTGGGCTATACGACATCGTGGACCTATATAGACAATTCTCTTTCAGGGGATAAATTACTCACATGGAACTCCTTGTGTGAAATTTCAGACAATTCCATTGAAAAATGTGGCTAAAATCATCAAGATACCGAATATCGGGGGGTTCCGTTATATGGGGACTATACGATATCGTGGACATATATAGACAATTCTCTTTCAGGGGGTAAATTACTCACATGGAACTCCTTGTGTGAAATTTCAGACAATTCCGTTGAAAATTGTGGCTAAATTCATCAAAATACCGAATATCGGGGTGTACCGTTATATGGGAGCTATACGATATCGTGGACCGATATAGCCCATCTTCGAACTTGACCTGCCTGCAGTCAAAAGACAGATCTATGCAAAATTTTAGCTTCCTATCTTTATTTGTTTTGACTGTAGCGTGATTACAACAGACGGACAGACGGACCGACGTTACAAACGGAATGACGAACTTAATATACCCTCCATACTATGTATATAAAAAGGGAACTTTACCCTCCGATCACCTCAAATTAAGGGGACACGACATGGTATTCCATACCATAAAGAGGGCGAATTTTGTTTTGTTTTTTTGAGTAGTTCTTTCAGAGTGAGAAACGGAAAGGGAAATATCAAAATGTAGCTAAGGTATGCAGTATTATAATTTGCCGAAATTTATGCCTTAGTGTCAAACAAACAAGTTAAAAAGTATCAGTCGGTTTAGCCGACAGATGTGCACCCTCAGCCTATGTTCGATTATTTAAATATATTTTGACTTCTGTTATGATTATTCAAATTGTTGACCCTCTATGAAGTGGGTTCCGAAGGAATGGATCAATATTCTTCATTTCGTATTGGACCTAAAAAACATGATTAAATATTGCGACAAAGAATCGGTGACTTGTTTTGCAAGTTATGACAGATAAATATATGGAAAATTGTGGATGAGGTACCTAAAGGGATTGGCAGGCAAATATTTCGATTTTTGAAATTTCACAGCAGATCTTGTGTCAGTAGAAACAATGAGATGTATGAAATATGAAGAGAACTGGATGCCTAGAGAACCGGATGCCTCACACCTTTATAACAGATCTTGTGTGGATATAAATATTGGGATGTGCCAAGTTTGAATGGAATCGGATGGTAATTTTGCGTTTAATGACCTTCGTGGATATTCAAAATTTCGACCCTTTCGGGGGGAGGTACCAGAAGAAGTGGACCGATATATCCCATCTTCACAGCAGATCTTATGTTACCAAAAAAAATAATGGGATATGTGAAATATGAAGAGAACTGGATGCTTATTTCGTATTTTATAATCGTTTTGGTTATTCAAAACATTCACCCTTTTGAGTGGGAGGTACCAGAAGGAAAATTTTTATAGATTTGCTGAATGGAATCGGATGTTAATTACGCGTTTTACAGGCTTCATGGATATTTAAAAGTTTGAACCCTTGTGGGTTAATAACAATCGGACTCTTACATCACATTTTATAAGAGTTAAAATGATTCAAAATTTTGACCCTTTGTGGGAGAGGTACTTGATGGAGTGGATCGATATTGTACATTTTCGCACCTGACCTAGCAATGATGCAAATATTAGGATTTGCAAGGTTGAGGCAAAATCACCAGATTGAGTGGACCGATATTACCCATCTCCGAACTAGATCTAAGTTTTACAATAATATTACGATGTACCAAGTTTGAATCAAATCGGATACTCCCTTCAAGAGTTATCGTGTGTACCAAGCCGTCAGACATACAGACGGATGTACATCGCCATATCGACTTCAAATGTCCTCAAACGTATTTTCTCCAAAGATACCTATGGTCTATGGATGAGGCAAGTTTTGGCCATAACAATTGATATATATCCTCTGTAGCCATATGGCTGTGGGTATAAAAATGGCGCCGAACATAAAGTTACACATAAGTTTCACCTATTTTCAAAGAATAAAAACGGTCGAACGTTAACGAATGATCAACCATCTTTTTTCAATTTGGCGCCCAACTTGTAGTTTTGAAGTGATTATTTTTAATGAGAAAGAGGAAGAGCTGAAGTGGGCTTGAAAGTGCAATATTATGGTTCCCGAAGAATTATAACCCAAACCCCTAAGTACTCTAGAAATCAGGGATCTATCTGGGATCTGCTCCGAAAGTGGTACCTTTTATATGGGCGCTACATCGAAATATTGACCTGCATTGAAATTTTTCTGCATTCTGAGGTTTTAAAATCCCTTAGAAACCAAGATGCCAAATTAATGAAAATACTCGAAATCTTGGGAAACCTTCAAATGAGGGTGAAACCAAAACGTTGGAATCTTTTGTTATTTTTTTCCAAGAGTGGTTTCTGCTCACTAAAAATTCAAACTACCAAAATTGGTTGATTGGTATAAAAAATATGGCTATAAGGTAAAAAATACCAGAAATTTGGCTATGCCCTTATGTGGGGATATACCAAAACGTGAAGCAACAGGACCCATATTTTGTACGAATGAATCTACCTGCCACACACAGGCTTGTATCAAAAAAAAAACTCTATCTTAAATTTTGCGAAGTATAGCAAAACATGTCAGACCCAAAATATTTGAGACCCATCGTCAACGTAATATCTATAATGGGCCTGGTGAAGTATGACCTGGGAACCTACAACCCTTTTGGAATTTCAAGCTACTAACCGAATACTATCACCATCACTTGGAATATGGCGCACAAGTTGGAAACACCCCACTTTTTAGGTTAAGACATAATCGTATCCGTTAAAAGCCCATGGTACTTCATTGATTCTGAAGATCTTAATTTTCTTAGCCATGGCCAAGCAAGTGAAATACGTTATGTAGCTAATGCAAATATGGCGCCCAATATGTGATTCCCCATTTGCAAAAAACCCAGTGGCTTTTGCAACAATAATGACTTAACCTGGCAAGTCACTTTTACCTTAACTTTAGGTTTCCTTCCTATCAGCATTACCGACCACCCGACTTCATATGATCCGAAGGCCATAGTTTTTATCTAGATCTGTTGGTATTTTATGGAGCCATTCCATTTCTCGTATTTGTCAAATGGTCATTCTTCCTTCTAAGCTCTGAAGGTGGTACTTTCCATAACCATAGCAAACAAGTGGAATACGTTCTATAACCGATGCAAATATGGCGCCCAACATATGATTCCTCATATGCAAAAATAGCCAATGGCTTTTACAACCATAATGGCTTAACATGGGACAACACAATTTCCTTAGCTTAAGGCTTTCTTCCGCATTATAGACCTCCCGACTTGATATGGTCCGAAGGCTATACTTTCCTCAACCATGTCGCCTCGGAGTATATCATTTTAGCAAAGATCTATTGGATTCAATCCATTTCTCACTTTCCATATTTATTTGACGCCACGAAACTTAATACGAATACCATTAATTCATCTTCATCCTCACAATCTACTCCCCCATCATTTATCATTTGAAACCAAAAATCAAAAGTATTGACTGGTGACATATTGATATGGCGATTGACATTGCTACGAACGCACAGCTCAACTCAAATTAGGTAATGATGTTTACGTGGAGAAAATAATTCGAAAAAAAAAACTTGAAAATTACGGATATTCGTGCGGAACCAAATCATGAATAATGAATTTGAGGTTATGCCAGTGCCACGAATGAAGGAAGCAATTCACACCAACTTAAGAAAAACAACACCTCCCACTCTCCTCCAAGCATTCCCATTCAAGGGTGTCAAGGCATTGGTGACAAAATAATACTTGAAGCTGAGAGAGAGAGAGTCATCATTAATCAAGGATAAAAGCTGAAACTAAGTCAAGCATTTATTGAGGTAAGACGCGACCAAAGAAAAAAGTTCAATGAATTTTCATTTTTCATCCAAAAAAAAAAAAAAAATAAGAAAAAGGGAATGTTTTTCACCATCACCTGCACAACGGAAATCGAAAGGTATGCACTTAAAACAGTTGAGGGCCAGGGGACCATCATTACGCATTTTAACAGTGTAAACACAGACAAGAGTGCGATGCTTTAAGCTCCAAGCAATGGAAGTTGTTAAAGGGCTCTGCATGAGAGAGAGTGAGAGCTGAAGAGGGCAGCGGAGTGCTATTAACTTAAATAACTTTGTTTAAATAAGTTTTCATTTAAATTTTATGCTAACGATACATATCTCCAACCACCTTCCTCCCAATCATTGACCATGCCGCCACCTTCAAACTCGGGGAAAAAATGAGAAAAAGAAAACATGGAAAACTCCAATGAAAATGAAAACACGTTTACCCCGGAGGATTTACTCTACGCTTTTGTGCCATGAATCCCAAATGTGTGGACACTTCTTGGAATGCCACGAAGAAGAAAAAAAAAAACAAAACAACTAGAAGTCGAGGAGATCTGATTTGTATTTTTAAGAATAACAACACAAAGAGAAGAAGATTT